GCCATTGGGGGAAACAATCGGGCTGTTCCTCAATCTCGAGGATGCTGGCTTGGTAGTCGCGTACTTCCAAGTCACTTCCTTCAGAAACGAAGCAAGTATGCTTCCAAGCCACGGCTTCGGAAAACGAAGAAGAATGGGACAGGCTAACAAGTGTGNCGCAAGGGTTTTTGAAATTGGTCCGTGCGCAAAGCATTGTGGGGATTTTAAGGACGCAAAGTCTACCCATGTGCAGCCTCAAAATTTCCCCCAAACCAAGGACGTGGCCTCGGTGGAATTCCAAGTATGAGATTGGAAAAGTCCTTCGGCGGCACTCAATGACGTAGCATCCTTGAAATATTGGCTTGGAAGCCAGTATCCTCGAGATTGAGAAACGGCCCCAGTCTGACTTTGTTCAATGTAAAAGAAAAAAACAATACTTCTAACAGCGCCAAAGTTCACTGAGCAACATGTTTCGTCTTGTTTACCTAATCCGTAAACAAAGAAAAATGCACATTAAATCTCCAGGAAGCTGCACGCAGGAGAAGAATAGCAAGATATACATTTGATACTTCCAATTTAGTTGATGATACATGTATTACGCATTGGACTTTTCTTGTAATGGAGTATATTTCACATTTAATACTTAATCAAGGATCTGAGTGCTTTGTTTAACAGTGAAACAATAAAAGTAGCTTTTATAAATAGCTCTTTTAACAACTCTCTACTGGGCTCCCTGACAACAACAAGCCTTTTGATGCTGAACAAAGCTGAAACATGTAATTATTTAGTGGACAATTAGAGTGGTGTGTGATTTCTTTATTGTTGGTGTTGCCCCTGCTCCCACCAGTTTTCCACCATCATTTAAAATGGAGTCTTTGAAAAAACAGTCCTTAGCTTCTGAAATATCTGCAGCCAAAAGAAAATGTCCCCCTGTCCCTGTTCCCTGGCCAGTGTAGCATCGTTTACAGTAAAGTGCATCTGGCTGGTTGCAGTCAGTGAATCGTGATTTGGCCATCGTCCATTGAGCAATTTA